AAAAAAAAAATTAAAACTTTTTCCTTGTTTTAATTAATACATTTCCCCCCCCCCCCCATATGATCCTTCAGAGATCCAGACTTAAAAATTTGAGAGAAATTAATTTCACATCATGTTGCCCACATTTTCCCTTTCCTCTGATGTTTTATCAGGTACAAGCAGAAGCAGATAAGCCTCAGTCAAACTCGAGCCAGATCGGAACAGCAAGTCGGTGCCAGACGCCAGCATCTTCTTCCTCTGCCATCCAGGTCATAGCTAATGCCTTCAGGAGGACCTTTAGTGGGAGCAGTGAACCCAGCTGCTCCAAGGCTGCTGTTATAATGTTTGTATATTTATTTATTTATTTTTTCTGGCTTTATTTCGACACCTAAAAACTTTTAACCGGAACATCATTTGAAATTTCTGTCCTTTCTGTCTTAATAGGAGACCCAGACGTAACGTTGCACGTAAACAGAGGCCCATGTCTGAAGGAGCGTCTGATTTCAGCTCACTGTTTGGCCGTGAAGACTCGGGGTCGTCGACAGCGGAGAGGAGAACAAGCATGCGTGGTGTCCAGTGGGCTTCTGTGGGGACAGATCCGTGGGGGGAGGGGCGAGACCTGCCGTCCTTGTTACAGCAGGTGTCCCTAAAAAGTCGAAGAGACTCTGAAGGCGTGCCGGACGAACTTCGTTCGAAGCCCCGTAAAAGGGTAGATTTGTTTTCATCTCTGAGGCTCAGGAAGAGGGGCCAATCGGAGAGTGAAGGGAAGGAGCAGGAAACTCAAAAGGAAATTAGGACGTTTCTGTCCAACCTGAAAAACAAAGGTGAGTCTATATTGCGCATCTGGGAAATACTCACGATGCTTCACAATTTCTGTTTTTTTTTTTTTTTTTTTTTTTACGGCCTTTTTCCAAATTGTATTAACTTAATATTTTTCCTCAAAATTCTACACACGGTTACCCCGTTGTGACAATATGGGAGAAAGTTTGAGATTTTTCCAAATGTATTGGAAATAGAAAACCAAGGAAACACGTTTACATAAGTATTCACAGCCTTTGCTTAAAATTTTGTTAATCCACCTTCGGCAGCAATTACAGCCCCAAGTATTTCTGAATCTGATACTACGAGCTTAGCTCATCTTTAGGCAGTTTTGCCCGTTCTTTTTTGCGGTGCTCCTCCTGCTGCATCAGGTCAGATGGAGACGTCTGTGCAGCCATTTTCAGATCTCTCCAGAAAAAAACACATTTTCTGATTTTTAAAATTTGTTTATTATTATTATTATTACTATATGTCTAGACTCTAGTGAGCAGAGTTTGGAAGAACTGTCTTCAAGTGGTGATGAAAGTGAAAGCCTGACGTCCACCAACAAGGTTTGTACAAATGATTCCTACATTCAGGCAGACGTCCGAATCCAGTGGATTGTGATTGAAAGGTGTTGTTGGTCATGTTGCAGCTGTCCTCAGACAGATTAAAGAAAAAGCAAGAAAAGACTGCGGCCCAGCAGGCTAAACGAGAACAACTGAAGAGGCTTCACCGAGCTCAGGTGCTCCTTTATTTCCTCTATAGAGATATTTGTGGCATTGCTTCAAAACACTCCATCTAAAGTGTGACCTTATAAAAGTGTGAATACGGCTGTTATCTGTCAGACTGTAGAGCTCTTTGTGTTGGATGAGTATTTTTTTAACACAGTGTTTATTTTGATGACTGAGTTTCAGTGAGGTGAAATGTTTCCTTTTTTCTTTTCATTTTTAGTTGTACTTGCAGTTATTTTCTCATATTTGCACGTATATGAACACTTGTAGCACCAATGTTTGCAGAAGAAAGGCAATGTACTTTTACCTTTTTTTATTTGTATTGGTAATAAAAAAAATGGCTTGTAGATGACATTACTTGACAGAATAAAAAGAAAAATTTACATATTAAGTTGTTTTTTAAACTTATGAATTGACTCTGTTAACTCACCTCTTTGCTAATTTGTGCGCATATTTCATTTCTTCCTGCTTCTATGTTTTGCTCGTAAACAAATCATTATGTTCTCATGTCAGTTTTTTTTTCTTTCTTGCTCGTATTTTCTTGAATTCTGAAGACGGACAGACACAGGAAATGCCATTTAAAAAAAAAAAAAGTGCTGGTAGAAGTGTTATTTTCTGAAAACTAAAACCATATCTCCATTATTTACCTACCTTGTTTCTAACCCTCACGCGTTTCTTTTTGTGCAGATAATCCAGAGGCAGCTGGAGGAGGTGGAAGAGAAACAGCGCGATCTAGAGGAAAAAGGAGTGAGAATAGAGAAGATCATCAGAGGAGAAGGTACTTACTTGTGCACAGATTCAGATCAGTCCCTCCTAGCTTCCTTTAAAGCCTGGCAGCTTTAAGCCATCCACCTTTAAAAAGAGGAATTCCAATCAAAGCTCTGCCTTTCTTCTCTGTAATTGCACCGCCTGCACAGTCGTCCTCAGACTGTTTAGAAGGAAGCATTCTCTCGTAACGTCTGTCTGGTTAAAAGCCTCAATGTTAGTTAATGGTTTTACTCACAGCAGACACCAAGACTTCATTACTGATTCATGTTTTCACAGTAGAGAGCTTTGTGCTTCAGTGGAGTTTTCAGTGAAGACTTGCCTTTGTGAGTGGTCAGTCTGATGTATTTCTCCCAGCAATGGCCTTGTGGAGATGGCATAGAATCACTCACACAACTCCCAAGTTGTCCCCCTTTCTTACTGTGTTTTCCTCTTAATTTCCTCCCTTCACAGATTCTCATCAGACTGACGACCATGACGAAGCCCAGCTCTATCAGTCCTGGTTCGAGCTTGTTCTGGAAAAGAATCGATTGGCACGCTACGAGTCGGAACTCATGATCTTGTAAGTGGCGGCACCGAGATCACCTGCATGTAAAAAAAAAAATATTGTACAGTTAAGATTGCTTGCCATTAAAGAGCCACAACTCTTGTATCTTAGCGCCCAGAGCCTCGCGCTGGAAGACACACAAAGCCGGCTGCAACAAGATCTAAGACGCCGAATGTCAGTTGAAGGTAAGTCCTTCATCTGACGGTTTTATGGTCAGGCACAACGAATACGCACTTAATTTTTCCTCTGTACTTATTGATGTTCTTTTAGATACAAATAAAAGCGCCTCAGAGCTGCAAAGGGAGATGGAGATCCTGGCTGAAATCATGAGGACGGTGGAGAAACGGGACATGCTAGTCTCCATATTGGAGGAGCAGAGGTTGAAGGAGATGGCGGAGGACAAGGACCTGGAAAGCCTGATGCTGTCCAGGGGCTACGAGTTTCACTGGGCTGAAGGGAGCGACACCTGGGGGAAGGAGAAGCTTGAATGATTACTGGTTGTTGATGATGTTGAGCCAACCGTGTGAATTTTTCTAGTCTGCATCTCCCTGATTTTTACAGTTTAAATCTGGATGTGGTGTAGATGCACATATTTGACAGCTGAGGACTTTTTTCAGCTTAAGAAAGCTTAATTTCATTTGTTAGTTGATGTGTTTAATTTGTCAGACTGATAACAAACAACATTCAGCTGAAAACATCTCTACCAATGAGGTTGTTTTACGTTTATCTATAACAAGATACAGAATAAACTCCTAACAATGTGGCTGCCTGGATGACTGCTTCAGGCTGCTTCCAGCCTTAAGGTTGGCCTTGCTGTAATAGGCCAACTATAAATGCATAACTTCACTGGAGACCACAAGACTTGACACTTTACTGATGTTTTTATACTTTGCACTGTGTAAATAGTTTAAAATAGATATGTTGATTTCAGAAATACCTTGTGTACAATTTACTTTTGGACACTTTGTGTGCTGCTGTGCATCCAACTGTAATTTCTTGTGAAAACATGATCCTGTTCATTTCTTTTGTGCTTGAACATTGTGAAAAAAACCCCCCCAAAAAAACAAAAACAAAACGGAATACTATTTGCACCCTGACAATGACACTACAGGTATGGCTTCTCCCTAAACGTCTGAGGTAAAGTCTCAGGGTGTGAAAGAGATGCACTACCGGATGAAACTGTCCTGCCATCCTCTAAATCAAAATCCACCAGCCAACTTTGCAGTAGGAGCTCTTGTGTCTTAAATTTATTTGCCGTTTCCCCTTCTCTATCCGCAGTGAAATTTACCGTTTTGTTCTACTGATACTCCTTCTTGTTTGCCAATGGCCTTATCACACTCTTAAAGAGCTTCAGGTCGATGTACGCATAGAAATATGAGTGATATGTTTACACTTTTAGTCCTGGAACAAGTTATGACACTGGCATTATTTCACTTTTTTTTTTTTTTTTTTTTTTTAGAAATATTTTTCATGCGCTGTGAATTAAAAGAATAATCTATATGTCATGTCTAATTAAAGTTGTGTGTCTTGTTCTTTTGCTTTGAGTGGGTCAAATGGGTGACATTTGTTCAATAAAAATACAGTTTGAATACTGTTGAAATGACTCAGTCTGTTGGTGGCAGTAATTTTATTGTGGGTGTGTAAAGTGGGGGTATGTTCTTGATTGTCTTTTGGACCATTCCCTTTGCAAAGAGCAGAGCTGCTGCGATTCTCCATCAAAAAGTGTCAGGCGAGGTACGGACTGTATATTTTGTCTAGCCTTAAATACCTTAGGTCTTCTTGAAGGATCTTTTAGAAAGTCGCAGAGGTGTGGAATCTCTTCGTTTTTTTCCTGAACATGTCATATTCATGTGGCAAGAGTATAACATCTAAAACGTGCAGTAGTAGTCTGTCCTCAGGACCAAGATTGAGAACCACTGACCTGTGTGTCTGCATCTTTTGCATTTTTGGTCAAAAAGTGAAGTTACTAGAAGTGGGTAGTTGAGTTTTTATTGTTTAAACTGTGTAACAACTATACGAGTAACTCACAAATCCAGATAGTAAGCCTAATCATTGCCTTCCTAGCATAGAACAAGGCGCTGGTTTTTACCAGGCTACGTAATTGTATTTTCACATTTCTTCTAACATTTCAACTGGCATGTTTAAATGAGTAATATAATTGATGCAATCAAAATAAGGTAGCTGCTAGCATTTTAGCTCTTTATTTGTTATAACAAAGCCTTCCTGTAGTTTTTGTTTTTATCCCAGTTACCTTTTAACCCTTTCTGACCTTTTATGTCCTTATTTCTTCTTCCTATATCCCTCTAGCGCCCCTCAGACCCCCGATATGAAGCCGGAGTGTTGACGCTCTCCTCCGGCAATGAGCAGCCTCTCTCCCGCCTCCCTGCTTCCAGCCCTCTTCCCCGGGAGAGGAGGGGCCTTCCACTCCAGCCAACCTCTGGTGTAAAAGTCTGGGATTCCGTTTCCGCTTTAGGGAGGAGACGGTGATTTTTTTATTTTTTTTTAATGACCATACTTTTTGCTCAACTTTAATTTCCACGTCAACTCGGACAGATTTCTGTCAACTGTGTCGGATTAATCTCTTGTCTCGACGATGGCTTCTTCGCCTCAGAAGTCTCCGTCTTCTCCAAAGTCCCCGACGCCCAAGTCTCCCTCCTCCAGAAAGAAAGATGACTCGTTTCTAGGAAAACTTGGTGGAACTTTGGCGAGAAGGAAAAAAGCTAAAGAAGGTAAACATTTAGCTAAAAAAAAAAACAAACAAAAAAAAACGTACCCTGCTTGTTTTTTAACAACCCTGTTTGTAAAAGTATACGTTTTTGCAACAAAAAAATGGCGAGTCTCGCAGTTTAAACCCTCACAAACTAAAGGATACTACGCAACAAAGTTTACAAAGCTTACCCAAGACTTTGAACTCGCCTCGATTTTGGAGTCAACTGCGATGAGCACCTGAAAATACAACCTGTAGCGCCTTGTGCTTGTCTTTATAGCCGCAGGCTATGTCTGTGCCCATGTATGGTAGTAAATCCTCCATTACTGTAATATGTGAGGAATGAGGCATGAGTAAACACAGGCCCGTCTCCTTACTACTGCAAGCTGAGGCCAGCAGCACCACGCCGTTTGTAGTTTTATAAATATATGTTTAGTTATCAAAAATCTGCATCTTGGCATTCTTTTAAAAATGGGTGTTTATACTCAATTTACAGAAGTATCCATATTTTATTTACATAATCACCTCTGCCTTTATTAGTCATCCCATAACATTTTTATACTATAAAATATTTACAAATATTTTTTGGTGTGCTGTTCAAAATCCTCACGATATTGAATTTATTTGTTCATATCCTGTAAACTTCATGTTACCACACGTGGGTTTTGATTTTTTATTCATTTATTATGAACTCTCTGCCTTTTAGGAAAACAATTTAGCTTTCCAAAAAGAAGGCATGTTTCACATCTTGAAGGACAAAAAGTAGCTAAGAGACAGACTTTATTTGTTTAAGCTTATATCAGATTGCTATCAACTACCTTTTATAATGAGGATGTGTATGTAGTTACCTGAATGAGACCCTAATCTTTTTGGATATCTCTGACCTGTTTCTTTTTTTTTAAAGCAAGAAGACATATTTCCATCACAGAAAATAGAAAAAAATACAGCACCCTTTTTTTTTTTAGAATTGGTATGTGACAAGCTAACTCAAAGTAGTGTGTAGCTGCTTTCTTTTCCCAGTTTTCTGTGCTTCCATAACTCTCTGACCTTTAGCATTTTGTGCATTTTCTGAATATCTGCTGTCAGGAGACATTGTCCAACTTGCTGAATATTACATGAGCTGTGAATGCAAGTTCATAACTCCACAAAAATAAAACTTTTTGCACTCTAGCATTGCAGACACTGATATTGCTGTGGTGAAATTTTTGCACATCACCGTAAACATGCCGCAGTGCTGCCATTGTGAAACATGGTGGAAGCAGCATAATGCTGTGGGAGTTATGCTGCAGCCACCACCAGCAGAGACCGAGAGAAACAAGTCGGGGTTGATGGGAAGGACTCAGCTGAATACTGAATCTGTTAAGAGGTAGAAAAAAAATACGGATTGGGTTGGGGGGGATTATTTTTACATCAAGTTTCTGTTGTTGAAAGCATTGCAGACTGAGGAGATTTCCTCTGCTTAACTACTGTACTCAGTGCAGGTAACGTGAGACGTGTTAAGTCTCTTAAAGTTGTGCATCATGCACACTTGGTGGTTTCTCAGTGGTGAGATATACTTGGAGATGAGCCTCTTGTGGTTGTGGATGTTTCCCTTTGCTTCACCTGAATTTGCAACAGTTACCAAGCGTGTTGGATTTCAAGTATAGAAAATGTGGCTAGAATATTTGAAAAAGCCTATTCTAGACATTTAGTTTTGCTATTTATATTTTTTGCGGAGTGCTGCTTTGAAACTAGAGCCTGTGGTTCAGATGTCAGTCACTGCTGAAGGCTGAAGGTTTTATCACTTTATGAAAAAAGGTCTCCTTCAGCTGGATGATTACTTTGTGTCAGTCAGGATTCTGTTGCACAGCTGAGCCCAGTATTTATTTTGCCTTTTTTTTTTTCATTGGTCATTCAAGCAATCACATTATATTCCTGCTCGTTCATATTCACTCCACACACACACACACACACACATGCACACACACATGCACACACACGCACATACTCTCTTGTATATACGCACAGAGCAGCGTGTGGGATGTCTGCAAAGTGTTTCAATGATTTGATGGAAAATGTGGGCCGGTCTCTCTTGTGCTGATGATTGAATAAATTTAAGTCCATGCGACGTTTATGGCAGTGGTTGAGTGTGCCTCGGAGAGAGGGGCCGCCGGCTGCAGCGGGCAGTAATGACTGAATGAAAGCAGAAAAAAAAAAAAAAAAGGAAAATGTTAGAGCGGAGGTAGAGGATGAGAAACAGGAGGGAAACTATACGACTGGGACTGGATGATATGAAAGAAGAGAAGGTCAGGAGGCTTTCAGAGCACGAGTGCAGCCTTGTGCATTGAACGTTGGTGCAAACCGAAAGGACAGCTCATAAATCTGAAGAAGAAATACACAATTCTTAATCCTCATTGAATATTGAGCAAATGTCAAACTTACTTCTGGGTTTAGATGTTAAACCAGAGGCGATTTTAGAGCACAGTCTGTGGACAGTGAGCTGCAGGGGAGGAAACTGGTCCTGGTGGCCAGGAGAGGATGCTTGAAACAGAGACATGGGCTGTGGAGCGTTCTGCCCTCCAGGTAGGACACGGAATCACTCACCATGCATTATTTTGTAGTCTTTTCTATTGTAGGTGACACTGGTAGCTTTATGTTATTGTAATCTTTATTCAAGCAGTTTGATGGATCCTTTCGTTTTATGTTGGAGCAAGGAGGGAGGAGCGATGCGCCGCGAACACACGCTGGGTGCATTTCAATTCCTTTCAATCTGGATTGAAATTGAATTTACACAATGCATATGCCTTTTTTTTTGTTTTTTTTTTTTTTTAAAAAGGTGACAGATTTATTTTGCAGCACTAGAGCTGATTTTAAAAAGATCGTTGTGGACGAGCTTAATGTAACAGCTGGTGAATAATATTGTGCTAATTGGCACAGTGTTGTTATACTGCAACTAGAACTTCAAGTGAGCATGTGTGTTTGTTTTTGTTTTTTTCATGTACTGAGAATTGAAGAGTTTTTCTTTTTTTATTTCAATTCAATACAGCTCTTAAAACTACAGCTATTTATAAAAAAATATGTCTTCCACCTGACCAATAGAAGTTGGATTGAGGATCATTTCTGTCTGACGTCCAGTGCGGCCTGTGCAATAAAAGTTGTCAACAACGAGGCATCTGGAGAGACTTCAGATTTTTAAAATGTTGGAAACATCTATTGTGGTTCACATTCATGTAATAGCATCACACGGTTGATTTGGAGTTCAGGGTGCACATACATAATGGGAATTCCCCATTTTATCCAAAATGTGCTCTGTTGGGTGTTGGGTTTAGGTGACTATTGTAGTACAGTGAACTCAGTAATGTTAAACAATCCAGTTTAAGATGATTTGAACTTTCTGACATTGTGCATTATCCTGCTGGAAGTAACCATCAGACATGGCTGCATTGTGGTCAGAAAGGTACGGACCCTCAGCAACCAGATTAAAGCATACTTGGCTGGTACTGACAGGGGCCCAAATGAAAATATTTTCTATACTACCATTTCCCAGAAGCTGCAGGCATTTTTTCCCCCAATCTGTTATTGTGTTATTATGGTGAGCCTGCATGAAACGTCGCCTTAGTTTTCTGATCTCGGCCAACAGGAGCAACTCCAGGTGGTCCTCTGCTGCTGTAGCTCATGTTCTTCAGGGTTCAATGTGTTGAACATTCAAAGTTATTATTCTACGTCCATTAGTTATAACAACTAGTTATTTAAGCTACTTGCTCCCCTTCTGTCATCTCAAAACCGGTCTGTCTGTTCTTCTCTGACCTCCGATATCAACGAGGTAGGGCTGGACAATAAAACAACAACAATATATATCGACTCAAGAGACACATGATCAATATCAATAGATCATACTTCCGATAGAATATTCAATA